ATGCTGGGATCAAGGACTACTATGTTTGTTAAAGTGAATGACTTTGACTTATATTCAAGGTCACAGGGGTCAAATTTGTTTAAAATCTTTAATAGACCTCTTCTGAATAACCATGGGTCCCAGGATGTTGATACTTTGCAAGTTGCATCCTGAGATGAAAGGCTATAAAATTTGTTTAACATAATGACTTTGTTCGACTTTCAATCACAGGGGTGAAATGTTTAAAAAAAAAATAACAGGTTCTTTTGAATGAATTTTAATCATAAATACTGATATTTTATGTGAGATTTATACCAGGTGAGCGATGCAGGCCCATTGGGCCTCTTGTTTCATGTTGTTATCATAGTTTTAGGAACTTTTTTTTCTCCAAAAAATGTCCTTCAGAAATCTTTTTGTCTGTGTTAGTTTGATATTCAGAATCATTTTTTAAATATGCTATGTTAGAGAAAAAGAGTTCCATTTAAGGTTGAAAAACCATTCTTGAAAGAATTTTTAATAGATTTTTCCCAGAATTCTGAAATATATCTAATGTCATTATCACCATTTGAAAAGCTGTTCTTTTAGAAATATTAAGAAAATATTTGCAGAAAAATTATCTCACTCGGTGTCAAAGTTTAATAAAAAGCTGTTATTCAGGTGTCTTTACAAAATAATAAAATATGGTGTCGGCTTCAATATAACAAGTGGTGGCCGAGTGGTTAAGATGTCTGACATTTACGATCACAAGCCCTTCACCAGTGGGTTGCGGTTTTGGGGCCTTCATGGGGCAGTTGCCAGGTCCTTTCAGCAGGTCGGTGATTTTCTTCAGGTACTCCGGTTTTCCTCACCCACCAAAACCTTGCATGTCCTTGATGCCTATATCTGTTAATAAGCCATAGAACACAAGCAAACCCAACCCCAACCTGATTAAGATCATCTGTAAGCCTCATACCAAAGCAATGTTACAAGGCTACAAACCTTTGAAATTGTATGATTGTTGTTGGCTTTCATGCTGTATGTTAAGGGTCAGTACAAGAATCGTTTAGTTTTTAAGATACATTTTTTATGTAACATATTCATTTATATTATATAAATCAGCTTTATCTCTTCAAAATCATCTTTGATTAAACAGTATTTATATATAAATTTTAATTGGAATAAGCGTAATCAAGTTTTGATCTGTTAGTTTGAAAGGTATTTATAATGTTTACTGTTGAATGTTATGGATTTTTCTTTTGCGAGTGTTAATTTCTTTTCCGTGTTTGGATACTTCATAATGTTAATGTTAGCAGTACTTATGAGCTATGATTCTTTGTGTGTATATTTGCACTGATCGAGTTAATTTGAAGATAGTTGAAATTCTCACTTAACCGTAGGTCTTTTATTTTTATTTTCTAAATGACTGTGATGTTTGTGATAATTGACTCAAATTATGAAAGAGGCTTAACAAACAAAAAAGGATGTGGTATTATACATGTCAGCTTCTTTAAAATTGAAATAAATGAAAAAAATATATATATCTAAAGAATTCTCCACATTATAAGTGGAAAAAAATCACAGAAGTCATGATTGAACAAGAACTATATGTAATTTTCTGAGGTTGATAATCATGGTATTCCCTTGAATAGTATACAGAACATATATATTGAAGAGCTTTGTTTGGTATAATGGTTTTGTTATTCAGTGTTTGTCATTCATTTATGGAAAAGATATATATTTCCAGTATCAAAGGCCTGTTATATTGAAAGAAGAATACATTTGAATCTGCTCAGTTGACCACTCCTATCATGCACCCCCCACCACCCCCTCCTCTTAAAAGGCCACCATCTTCCCATCTCCATAGAGTAATTCACTGTGAATGCATAAACCTTTTAAAGTTCCTGTCTATACTGTTATCTTGACTCGAAAAGTCAAGTGTTAACATTGAAAATGGTATTTGGCTTTAAATCTCCCCAGAATTTCTCCAAATCATTTATCAACCGGACAAGATATTGGGCCTGAGCACAGATCTGGAGATTGAGTATGAGAATGGTTTGATGAATACTGGCCCTGGTCTGGCCACCTTGAGTAGCTGGTTATCTCTCCAGCTTCCATCTCACCCTATTGATCCTTAGAGGAGTAAATAACGGTAATGTTACTCTAGTCATTACTAGACTAGTCATGTAAGGTCTATTTATTATCTCCAGCTTAAATCATGTCTAGGTATTAAATTTTTTATAACTAAAATATTTGTATTGTGTTATATTTTCTGATGTTGGTATGATGTATGTTATACCTATTCACTTCGTTATAATAACTTCACTGGCAGTATTCCAGCCTAGACGGATGCTCAAAACTATTGAGCAACTCGGTCAACGTGACTCAGTACAGTTTCACTACATTCCATCCACCTTAACAAGGTCCAAAGTTCAAAGTCGTGGACCCTGAAGACATACAAGGCCCTTCACCACCTAGCTTCCATGGACATATATAGTTGGGTACCAAATGTAACACGAAAGGTAAATGCAAAGTCCAGACTGGGATTCCAACCCAGCATCTTCAAACTCTATATGGATGCTACTGGTCCTTGCCAATCAACCCAGTCCAATTATGTTACACATATATTCTATGCATATTGTATGATCAACCAAGGGGAAATGCCTGGTGTCACTAAGATCATTCACCCCTGAAATTTCATAATGAACTATTCCAACCTTTGAATTTGAAGAGTTCAAATGTGTCTTCAGGGGTGAATGAGTTAAGATCAATCCATCTAGGGTGTTTTATACCAATTGTTCAGTCCATATCACAAGATCTTTGACCATCTCACTGTGACCTTGACATTGGGTTATAAGAACGGTACCCCAACACATGCTAACTATACCCAAGTGTGATAGATATGTGTAAATTGTTAATTCATCAAATTCTATGCAGTAAATCAGAAGCGATAGCCTGTACGCAAAAATGATGACAACATAGTTGACCTTTGAACCATTATTGTGACCTTGAGATCGTGAAAATAGAATTATATAAAACTATCAAGTGATGATGGATGTATACATGAATTTTCATGAAAATTTCTACAGCCAAAAAATTATTGTCAGACAAGACTGACCACATGTCGACTCAGTGAATAGCTATTCCACGTCCGTCATAAAATGTGACTTGTGATAACTAAAGTTTCCATGTCACAAATTCAATTTTCATCACTTCCTTCATTCATTTCCAATTATTTTGATTTGGAACAAATTACAAAAGTTCAGTACTATAATGCCTAAAACAAATTGAAGGTTCCAAGTCATGATGCAAAGGTCAAGATCTCTCATAAATATTAAGCTTTCGTACATTCGTACACGTGTTTGGGAAAAAGTAAATAATGCTAGGAATATCAGGAAATATGGTGAAGGCATTCTTGTCACACAGATAATGTTTAATTAATATAATGTTGAAAGTGGAAGAAAACGAAAGCTGGAAATGATGTGAAATGTTATAGAAAAGTTGATTTGGCTGCTTCTTGTAAGTACACACAAGGCTTATTTTATGGTTTCGTAAGTATGCACAAGGCTTACAGTTCTGTAAGTACGCACAAGGCTTAGTTTATAGTTCTGTAAGTATGCACAAGGCTTACTTTATAGTTCCGTAAGTACGCACAAGGCTTACTTTATAGTTCTGTAAGTATGCACAAGGTTAACTTTATAGTTCTGTAAGTATGCACAAGGCTTACTTTATAGTTCCGTAAGTACGCACAAGGCTTACTTTATAGTTTCGTAAGTATGCACAAGGCTTACTTTATAGTTCTGTAAGTACGCACAAGGCTTACTTTATAGTTTCGTAAGTATGCACAAGGCTTACTTTATAGTTCTGTAAGTATGCACAAGGCTTACTTTATAGTTCCGTAAGTACGCACAAGGCTTACTTTATAGTTCCGTAAGTATGCACAAGGTTTACTTTAAAGTTCTGTAAGTACGCACAAGGCTTACTTTATAGTTCTGTTAGTATGCACAAGGCTTGCTTTATAGTTCTGTTAGTATGCACAAGGCTTACTTTATAGTTCCGTAAGTATGCACAAGGTTTACTTTAAAGTTCTGTAAGTACGCACAAGGCTTACTTTATAGTTCTGTAAGTATGCACAAGGCTTACTTTATAGTTCCGTAAGTACGCACAAGGCTTACTTT